TGTGATCTCAACATTTTAAAAGCTGGGATTCTGTAGACAACATTCTGCCTAATTATGGTGTTCTGTCTCTGAAAGGCTCATCCTGAAGTCTCCTTGTAAAAGGAATATTGAAGCATGGTGATATCTTTAGCGTCTGCATAATCTAGTTACCTTTTCTCTTCAGGGCTAGGGTTTTGTTTGTCGTGTTGTCTTTATCTGACAGTGCTGAGAACATTTAAGCATTAGCAACCATAGTTTGGATACAGCTGAAAGCAGTGGAGGTGTTGTATTACAGTGCTCGCATCCCTGATATTGCAGAGAAGTTTCCTTGGGCACAGAATCAGAGCATCTTAGTGGTAAAGGAGGAACACGTTAATAATTTGCATGGGAAATGTTTTATAACATTTTTTTCATGAGTGCGATGTTTAATAATTTGAAGGCATTTCAGAAGATATTTTTTCTAAACACTGAAATGCTCATTGGTGTTTGTAAGGCACTGTAAAAATGGGAAGCACCATTCTAAAGTAATTAAGAGTATGTATTTTTAAATTAGGTTTTTGGAGGTGATAAACTTTGTCTGGACTGGGTTATTTCCCCACAACCATCCCTTCTGCCTCTGCTAGGCACACACGGAAACAACTGCAGTTTCAGACTGAGCCCCTGTGTCTTGGGTGTCCAGGCAGAGGATTGTACATTGACTGTGCAGTGCGGCTGCAGCAGAAGCCATTTACGGCGTTTGTATTTCATTGATAAGAGTATGAACTAAGTGGATCATGTTTTTAAGCAATGCACTTAGTCCTACCAGCCAGTCTCTAGAAGTCAGTAACTGAAGTGTGGTTGTTGAGAAGAATATTCCCAATAATAACTGAACGGTGCCGTTGTACAGGCCCTTATTTTCCAGAATCGGTGAACGTGAAGCAGAGCCATTTCTCAGTGAAGAGTCTGAGTTACCTAATGCACTTTAACCCAAGCGTTTATTTTAGTTTGACTTGATGTTTAGAGAGGAAGATACCAGTTGGGAAGAAACCTGTCAGTTTGTCCAGCCCACCCATGACAGGTGAGGTGCGGAGGAGCTTCTCTGGTGATGACGAGTTGACTCCTCCTCCATATCGAACCCTTCCAGCACAGACAGCCCCAGAGGCCTTCCAGCCTCCCAGGACTAGCCGAGAGTTCAGTCCCAGCCTCAAAACAGGTAACTAGCCACATCGGTCTCTGTTACTGCAGAGGGAAATGATGGACAGGGTGGGGAACTAAGCATGGTCTAGCGTGTAATGTGCTGACTCATCAAAACTCTTTTTTTTTTCTTTTGTTTTTTCCCTTTAGATTTTGGTTGGTTTTATTTTTTTCTGTTAGAGAGCTTTTCATTCTCACTGATGCACCATGTCACTGAATCATAAAAAAGGATTGCAGCTGGTTTAGAACTTCACTGGAGACCATATTGTAGCTTGCTGAGGCGCAAAGGCACAGAGGAGCTCTGCAGAGTTTTAAAATGCAAAAATGCGCCCTGTAAAACTAAATGGTAACGTGGATTTGGGAATATTTGATGTAAGCAGGAAGTTAGTGTGGATTATCTTTTGCAGAGAAAGTAACTGTACACATAAATGAATGATTTTTGCCTTTGTGTCAGAAAAAGGCAGTTATCTGGGAAAAGACCTTCAGAACATAAGCATTACTTGAAATTTTGTGGGTTACTGATATAGAAAATATATTTGAAAAGAGTTTGTCCTTTTAAAATTTGACCTTTTCCCTCTTTTTGCTGTAAAACCTGGGTTTGGTTTAAGTATTGACAGTATAATTGTGCATCTGTATGAGTGAGCAGAGAAGACCTCTTAAAAAGTCATTTATCAGTAATATTGAGCAAGTAGATTAAAATTTTAAGCTCATTTAAGGATAGTTTATGTAACGTAATCGATCTTCGGTTATAGAAGTCCACTGCAAGGGTCTGGTAGTTTTTTCTCTTCCCTTTTCCTAATATGTCTGGCAATATAATGTAGCAGGTAAAGAAATTATTTCTAACAAATACGTTGTAGCAGTATCATGGGTCAGACAAACTGGATTCTGCTCTTCCTGCAGAACAGTTGCCAGGTTGGTAGATTGAGCCTCAGATTTGCTTGATTTATATTCCCTTCAACTTGCTTTAGTCTGAGCAGGCTGCCATACTGGCACTTTTCGTTGACTGTGGAACACATCCAGAACAGTTTCTCTCGTCCGTGTGTTATCCGTTAACAGAATGGGACACGGTAACCCACTTGCTGCCTTTAGATCCCGAGGACAGATCTTGACTCTTCTGCACGCCTCTCAACGCTTCTCAACAGCTCCTTTATTTTTACTTCGGCTTCCTACTCGTGTGTACATGCCTGTCTTTTAACAGAATCTTTGGTGCAGAAGAGAAGCCTTGCTTAGGAGAGGGTGTTCTGGAGTGTTTGTTTCTGCAGAGCTTTTCTTCTTCTCTTACTGCAAATCTACACCTAAATTGCCTTTATGTAGTGCACAGACATGCAGAGTCTGAGTTTTCTGTGTTGTTAGATCTCAGTTCCTACGAAATGCCTGTGTTCTTTGGTTTCTGACACCCAATGCTTTCTATGATCATTTGGGGGGAAACTTTTCAAAGTTCTGAATGTTAGAGAGGCTGGACAAAATTAGTTTTATTTGTGATGTAGCCTTGTTATTGTCCAAAGGTGTTTTTAAATTTAAATTGAAACCAGCAAGACCACACCCTTTAAGTCTGGGGAAGAGAAGGGCATAACCCTGACGTACAAGAAGTTAAGAACACGTTTGAGATCAGCCAGAACTTATTCATTGCGTGCATATTCCGCAGCATCGTACGCTGCCTTGCATTTTAGTAGCCGTAGCTCGGATGTAGGTACATTGCAGGAGATGCTTATATGGCTTTGAATGGAAGTAGTGTAAGATTAGTAACGGGACAGGCATCTGCTCTAAAACCTCTTGTCTATCAGAGGTCTCGGTAGGGCTCATTAAACAACTCTTTTTTTTTCCCCTTTTGTACTGTCATAAGCACAGGAGAAGGTTTCAGTACTTCTTCATCTTGTATTGTATGGTTTTGCTCTCTAGCAAAGTCATGGCGCTTCTTTAGTGTACACAAGTACTTTGCATCTTTGAGTCGTACGAAATGATCTTTTAAGCACTGCAATGCAACTGTTGGACAGCATCACTTTTAAAAAGAGCCTGTAGCCAGCCCTCCGTCGGAGGAGGAGAGCGTTCCGAGAGACTCGCCCTACTTCTGCACATATCCTGGACCATGTTGCTCCATTCTATATTGACCTTTTGGGGGTTTGAATGATGTTGCATCAGACACAGTCTGTCTTTGTCTCCTGGCAAATCACTGAGACTATTTAAAAAGGGAGTACCTTGCACATCTGCATCCCTTTTACTTCAAGATGATCGGTCAGATGACTTCCATTAGCTTTTTTTATTCTTCTTCCAAGTAACTTTTGTTGTATAGTGGTAGCTAAGCTTTTCTTACGGAGGATTGTAGTTAAAAGCTGTATAATAGGGGCAAATGAAGCAAAGTATTATTAAATATCTAAATGTAAGGATTTTGGTTCAGATAAGCCAGAGGCAAGCCAACTTACGGAGACTGCTATTACTCTTGTACCTGCAGAAGCATTCTACAAATACTGGGGCTAGAGGAGAAAAAGAACGTGCCTGGTGGGTTTCAGATTGATCCCTGACCTCTGCGTAGCCTTTGCTCAAGGCATTAGCAGCATATCCAAGTAACCAGTTGTGTGTCTTATCATTTAGACAGCACTTTTTTTGTCCTCCACAGACCCAGATTCTTGATCAGAGTTGGGCATAATGCAGGGAAAGCCTTCGGGGGGGAGAAAAGGCAGCAAGGGGTTGTGGGCTACGTAGGCGGGGGAGGAGGCATCTGTTAAAGACAGAAATGAGGAGAGCTTGCGTTATGCTGGAACTTTTTGACATTTTTTAATATCTTAATTTTCAAATTTTATTTTTATTTAGCACAAGAGTTTGTTTCAACATGGAAGATGACATAGAAAAATAATAAAAGAATAATCAAATGGCTTGTAAGTTATTGCAGGGCTACTAGAAGCAACAGGTTATGGGGGGTTTTTTTGCTTTCACTGCATATTTCTGCATTTCAAAATACATTGATAATGCATATAAACTTTGTATTCAGTAGCTATAAGCTTTATTCATTCATTTGGTCATAGAGAACCATCTATTTTTGTATAATCAACCCTTTAATGTGGGTACTGCACCTTTAATGAAAGTCTTGGCATGTTTTGTTTTCAGTGTTCTTTTCATTGTGCTCATTTTGATAATTATCACTATTAATTAATGAAACTGAAAAAGTAATTGTGACATTATTGCTATTCATAACATCTTTTTTTATGTCTTAGATCTCATTTCTGTTTTCTTTTTACAAAAGAAAGAAGAGAGAAGTTTAAAACTACAAAAAAGATGTTTTGCTTGAATGAAACTTACCTTCTGGGATCTTAAAATTTTTATGATGTATTGAGAAATCTTTGTCAATGTCTTTTCTTGTCTCACATAGACCGTTTACAGTACTTGGGCTAAGCAGTGCGATTCCTAGATTGTAAATGGCCAACAGTTAATCTTATTTTTACCTGCGTAAAGACTAAATAGGAAGTAAACAGTAAACAAAAGAGTAAATGGCGTAAAGTAAATGTTGTTCTGAGCAACAGTCGTAATTCCTATTAACATGTTCAGTAACCTTCTTTAAACTAGTGTTCTAAGATACGAAATTCTTGAGGAAAACACTGTAGAGAATATATTATTGTAAGTAATTTGTTCAAATATGTTAATATTAGAGCATAACTTAGGTTCAATTTAGGGTGAGAAAGCATCTGCTTTCTGTGGGATACTGAGCGTTAAAAGAAGAATCACTAAAATGTAGAAAATAAGAGAATGGGAAATCTGGGGTCTGTTACCAATTTAAATAATATTAAGTAAATTTAAGGAAAAGTTGTATTTACTTTGATTTTTATAGGTCTTTAATGTTCATCTTTTATTTTTAGTTACTTCATTGCAGCTGAAGGAGGAGTTGCTAGATGGAGAAGAGTATAGCTTCCTTCAAGGAGCATCTGATCAGGAAAGCAACGGATCTGCCAGTTACTACATCAAACAAGAACCATAAGGCAGCTCAGAGAAGTGAGGGGCGGAGTACTGGTGATAGGAAAAGAGCCTTTCTCCAAGACTGACTGATTTTGTTCCCACTTCGATGGTACAGTTCGGGTGACTGTACCTGGGGCACTTTGCTGACTGTAGATGAGTTAGACTCAGTTCAGAATTTTTTGGAAGGGCGGGGAAACTATTTTAGTGAAAAAGATTTTTCAATTTATTAAAAACAAAAATGGACACTTTTGTGTTGTATTTGAAGCTTTTGAAAGAATTTTGTAATATTTTCAAGTTCAGATTTATTGTGCATTGTTAACAAGAACTGAAATTCTAATTTTTTGGTAAGATTAAAGTTTAATTAGCATGATTCTGGGAAGCGGTTGGAGGAAGATATAGTTGCAAATACAAATGAACTGTCATAACAAATGAACCTTTTTGGTACAAGTTGGGAAACTTTTAGACTCTTGTGAACTGCACTGGTCACGCCTCTGTTTTTGTTGTTTGGTTTGTTGTTTTTTTTTTTATTGTGAAAATAATGCATTTAAGCCCTGATTTAGAGGCATAAATTGTATGTGGAAGATAGTCCTGTAAAGCTCTACTCAGTGAGTAGCCCCAATTGCAATGGAGCCATCGCCTGACGAAGATTTTAACTTTTCAAGATGTTTTTATTTAGTTTAAAATACTGTTTTTTATGTGAGATATTCTTTTTAAAAAAAAAAAGGTTCCTTAGGATCTGATTCAGTGCCCGTTAATATCGGTAGCCTTGTCTCCATTGGCTGCAGGGGGCATTGGATTGGGACTATAAAGCTCCTGTCTGTACATGAATGTCTGGAGTCTCAGAATGCTTCAGCAAATGTTTACAGAGCCCTATGCCAAACTGGAACTTCAGAAAATTCCCTCATTTGGAAGATGAGTTTTAGCTATTCGTTTAGACTAAAGATGAAACTTAGACAGAGAGTAGCTCGGGCCTCCCTTGGCAGTGGGAAGGAACTTCTGAGTATTCTTCTGATTATTTTTTTTCCATTCAGAAAGACCTAGATGTTTCCTTACCATCTTAAATATTTACTTGTGAACGTTCAAAACTGATGTTCCACGTGGTTTCAGGTGAGCTAAAAGGAGCCATACATTGTGGATTAAAAAAGGAGTTCAGTTCTGCACGGCCTGCAATATTCTATTCTTGCTGCAATAGTGTACTAGGGAAGTTGAGGCTTGAGAACAGTATATAAATCATATACTGTCTAGTATATAATTCATAAACTGGATTTGCTTATTGTCTGGAATCCTTGTGTCTCACTTCAAGTATCCCATTAGCCCCACCTGCTTAACTGTCCAGATTTTTTACAGGCAAAAGTCATGTAAAAGGGTGAAAATGACTACCAGTAAAATACAAAATATTTTAGCATGAGCTCTTAATCATTTGGATTTTATCTTTCCATATTTCTAAACTTTGTACGTTTTTGTAAGTGATCTCATTCATGGAGTTGATTAGTAGAATGGTTCATCAGCCCTGGCAGAGCTGTGACTGGAAAAATGTGCACCAAGAGCTTTAGCTTTTACCAGTAAGGTTCATTAACTAAACTCTCAGGAATTAACTGCATATGTTCTATAAGTGCTTCTGGGTCTTAGCAGGTCCCCTTCAGAGCAGTACAATGATCATCTGACTCTTGACCATAAATTAGGGCTTAAAAAAAAATTAATCAAAATCATTAACGTCTGTGTTCCTACAGCCTAAGAAATGCTTTAAGGATATCAACCCACAGAGCCCCAGGAGACCGTTTTTGTATATTGTTGTTTGAGCTTAAAAAAAAAAAAAGTGCATAGAAAGTTGAAAACCAGCAATTTGATTATTTTCTAAAATATTGCTCTAACTTTGGGTACATACTATTGGTAATATGCACAGGTTTACCTCATTCTATGCAAGAGGGGTTAATTATGTAAAGTTTTGTATTTACTACTGGAAGTAAAAAAATGTCCTGTATAGTGTAGGAATGTCTGGAATTCTTTTCTCCCTTACTGGTAAAATTTCTTAAATAATGACCCCTTTTTAACAACAGCTTCTTATATTGACAGAATCTGGTTATCAGATTATAAGTATCTGTAACTTCAGGTGGTAAAGACATTTTAGCTCTCTGAAATAGCCATAAAAAGGACTTTGTCAGGCTTGGTAGACTTCAAATACATTCTCTCGGATTCTGACCCACCCATGATGTTTCTTTTGAACAGCCTGGATTGCAGAAGTAGGATTAGAGACCATTGTAATGACACTTTGAGCCTTGATTATTTTTTTTCCTGTGTTCTCAATTGAACCTGCTGTAAAATCCAGCTCTGCAAGCATTGATTTGGTTTGGTAAGTACATCACTATTGATTTTTTTTTTTTTTTTTAAATGCAACAACTTGCAGATTGTCCCAGTCAGCTGGAACAAGGTTGGCACAATCTTCCTTTCTTCTCTCATCAATAGGCTTCAGTAAAGAACTGTTGCATTAATTTGTGTTTCATAATGTGAAAGCTTGGGCTAGTAATGAGCAAGGTGTATTGCCACGTCGCTAAACCTTGGGCTCCTGCGTACTGCCCAGGCTCATACCTGATCTCTGAGTCTTCAAATGTCACGAGGGAAATGTAGCACTTAAGTTGAACACACTTCCCGTGTTGGAGAAATGTAAGAATCAGATTTGAAGTCTGTCAGTCTTTATAATGTTCTTTAAAAATAGGTATTTTATTCATTAAACACTAAAGTATGTCAGTTGACATGCGTTCTCAGATACACGTGTGACTTCAGTAGGAGTTGCATGTTGAGACTGATGGGTGAAATTCCCCTTGTGTTTCTGAATTCAAAACATACCTAATTGTGTAATTGTCAAGTACAGTGAAATCTGTCCTAAGCCAACCACGTAAAGAACCCACTGAGGTCACTCGCTTAGGAAGAGGTTTAAGGAAAACCTGAGCAAAATTCCACCAGGTATTTGGGGAATGGTCTCGTCAAAGAGCGGGTACCTGGCGGCTGTGGTATCCGTAGCACAGGCTTCACTGTATTTGTAAAGCATGCGTTAGTAACATGGCTCTAGGTATTTTTATCTTCGTTCTACTCTAAGCCATGTTGCTTGGCTAAAAGAGCAGCGAAGTGTTGGACATCTGAAATCTTCAATGGGGTCAAACTAATTTCAGTATTTGGCACAGGAGGTTTTTATAACCGTGAGGTAGCGCAAGTTACGCACCTCACTTTGCAGCTGCCCTTCTCTTATTGCTCAAAATCTTTCTGCTGATCTTTGATTTTTATGTTATTTTAAATACAACTCTCTAACCTTTTCCTTGCTGCATCTGAGGAAAGCTAAAGCAGTTATCGATTCCTTGTTCTACGGATACTAACACGGGTTTCAGTGTTTGTTTGTTTTTTATTGTTGTTTTATGTGATGTGAATACCCTCTCCTGTCAATATTTGTACGATGGTGCTAATATATTTGGTAACAATCCTTTATTGGGAAGGGATTTTAAAAAACTGTGATTTAAACTGAATTTTTCTTCCTTTTAATTTTCATATTTAAAACAAAAAGCCACAGCCATTTATACAGAAAAGGCATCAGCTTTGGCCCCTGGGAAAATGTTGGGGCGGGAATCAAGATTAAACAAATAGGGTTTTTACATCATTTCTGTATGTATTTGATATATAGATCAATATCTGTACAAATTTAATCTTTTATTTTCTTGGTAATTTGTGTGGTTGAGAGAGAGTATTTAAAGCTTTCTCATGCAATGTACCTAACTAAGTGAAAAAAAAAAAATGCTTTTGGAGAAATTAAATGTTACTTTCATTTTTACGAGACTGCAGATTTTCAGCATGGATGTGAAAAGCATTAAAATTATAACTTTGTGTACAAGATGAAAATAATTCACTAAATTTGCCTTTTTTACACAAAATAAAAATGACAAAAATGATAAAAAGTCTTTTTCTGAATATTGTTTTGTTTAACAGGCGCTCCTTGGCACATATATAAATGCATTCCAGCTTGTTTCTCTCCTGAGAACGCAGATAAAATACCTGCAATTTGTAAACCCAGGCATGTTTTAGGTAACTGGGTATGTTAGTCTGAGCGCAAATAAAGCATGAGAGGCTCTGAGCACAAGGGAAGGCGCTTAATGAGAAGGTGCCATTAGATAAGCATTTAACAGAGGCCAAGCTTTGCAACGGGTCTTGTATTTCAGTGGGTATTAGTAGTTGCGGAGGGAGGGAAATTTTGTCCCCTTTTTCTTCTAGTTCAGTTCTGCTACGTCGGGTGTAGCTCAAGCATCCCTTCAACTCTCCCTCTGCAAGTTGGCTTTGCAACTGTAATGCGTTGCAGTAGCCTTCAAAGCAACTCTGCAATGAGCAGAAGTCACTGAATTTTTATTCTGATATGCCTGTACGTGGAGGTTCGCGTTAACTATTCCCTCTACATGGGGAAAATATTGAATGACTGAGTAAAATGACTTCTGTGAATATCTGGACACAGTGGTCTGTTTTACAGTGAATGCACCACAACGAATTATTAGTTCATATCCATTTATTTGACAGTGCTGAAAATGACTAAGATAACCGTGGTGATAATTGCTCCCAGGCCAATAGCTGGAATGAGATGATGCGTTAAGAAGGCACAATTCATTGTGGAAACTCATTTCACTCATAGATCCAATCATGTGCACAAGACTTGAAGTCAATGAGCTCTGCAGGTTTGAACCACAGGTTGATCTCCTTCTGCGCGCTTTCTACGGAGTCACTGCCGTGAATGATGTTTCTGGGGAAGGAGACAAGCGCATTGTTCAGTATAAAAAAAAAAAAATACACTTCTCAGTTCTCCATATGCAAATACTTGGATGAAGCATCTAGAGCTGCAAGACTACTCTTTCAGGTACAGTAGTCCAATGCCCCCGCTACAGGAGCTAGTTAAGCCTAGCGGGGTGACTAGGGCTACTTGACTACACCAGCCACCGCCTGATCTTACATGAAGCTCTGACGAGGAGCTGCATTTCAAAAAAAAGTCAGTTTTGTACCAAGCCATTTTCTTAAGTAGCAGTTACGGATTGTGACCTGCAAATAAAATACCATCAGACTAAGGTATCTACCAACAACTTTGACTTTCTAGAATAAAAGACTACCAACATGGAGTTTTTCATCTCGACTGATAAAGAACTGAGCACAAACCTTCCTACTTGAATGCAGAAGTCACCACGGATGG